ACACTGAACAAGCGCTGATCAAACGCTGAACTCAAACGCTGCAAACGCTGAACAAGCGCTGATCAAACGCTGAACAAGCGCTGATCAAACGCTGAACAAGCGCTGATCAAACACTGATCAAGCACTGAACAAACGCTGATCAAACACTGAACAAGCGCTGATCAAACGCTGATCAAACACTGAACAAGCACTGCATATACGCTGATCACACACTGAACAAGCACTGAACAAACGCTGATCAAACACTGAACAAGCGCTGATCAAACACTGAACAAGCGCTGAACAAACACTGAACAAACACACTGATCAAACACGGAGCAAACACTGAACAAACACTAAGCAAACACACTGATCAAACACGGAGCAAACACTGAACAAACACTGAGCAAACACTGAACAAACACTGAACAAATACGGAGCAAACACTGAACAAACACACTGAACAAACACTGAGCAAACACACTGAGCAAACACACTGAACAAACACTGAGCAAACACACTGAGCAAACACACTGAACAAACACTGAGCAAACACACTGAGCAAACACACTGAACAAACACTGAGCAAACACACTGAGCAAACACACTGAACAAACACTGAGCAAACACACTGAGCAAACACACTGAACAAACACTGAGCAAACACACTGAGCAAACACACTGAACAAACACTGAGCAAACACACTGAGCAAACACACTGAACAAACACTGAGCAAACACACTGAGCAAACACACTGAACAAACACTGAGCAAACACACTGAGCAAACACACTGAACAAACACTGAGCAAACACACTGAGCAAACACACTGAACAAACACTGAGCAAACACACTGAGCAAACACACTGAACAAACACTGAGCAAACACACTGAGCAAACACACTGAACAAACACTGAGCAAACACACTGAGCAAACACACTGAACAAACACTGAGCAAACACACTGAGCAAACACACTGAACAAACACACTGACCAAACACTGAGCAAACACACTGAGCAAACACTGAACAAACACACTGAACAAACACTGGTCAAACACACTGACCAAACACTGAGCAAACACACTGACCAAACACTGAGCAAACACACTGAGCAAACACTGAGCAAACACACTGAGCAAACACTGAGCAAACACACTGAGCAAACACTGAGCAAACACACTGAGCAAACACTGAGCAAACACACTGAGCAAACACTGAGCAAACACACTGAGCAAACACTGAGCAAACACACTGAGCAAACACTGAGCAAACACACTGAGCAAACACTGAGCAAACACACTGAGCAAACACTGAGCAAACACACTGAGCAAACACTGAGCAAACACACTGAGCAAACACTGAGCAAACACACTGAGCAAACACTGAGCAAACACACTGAGCAAACACTGAGCAAACACACTGAGCAAACACTGAGCAAACACACTGAGCAAACACTGAGCAAACACACTGAGCAAACACTGAGCAAACACACTGAGCAAACACTGAGCAAACACACTGAGCAAACACTGAGCAAACACACTGAGCAAACACTGAGCAAACACACTGAGCAAACACTGAGCAAACACACTGAGCAAACACTGAGCAAACACACTGAGCAAACACTGAGCAAACACACTGAGCAAACACTGAGCAAACACACTGAGCAAACACTGAGCAAACACACTGAGCAAACACTGAGCAAACACACTGAGCAAACACTGAGCAAACACACTGAGCAAACACTGAGCAAACACACTGAGCAAACACTGAGCAAACACACTGAGCAAACACTGAGCAAACACACTGAGCAAACACTGAGCAAACACACTGAGCAAACACTGAGCAAACACACTGAGCAAACACTGAGCAAACACACTGAGCAAACACTGAGCAAACACACTGAGCAAACACTGAGCAAACACACTGAGCAAACACTGAGCAAACACACTGAGCAAACACTGAGCAAACACACTGAGCAAACACTGAGCAAACACACTGAGCAAACACTGAGCAAACACACTGAGCAAACACTGAGCAAACACACTGAGCAAACACTGAGCAAACACACTGAGCAAACACTGAGCAAACACACTGAGCAAACACTGAGCAAACACACTGAGCAAACACTGAGCAAACACACTGAGCAAACACTGAGCAAACACACTGAGCAAACACTGAGCAAACACACTGAGCAAACACTGAGCAAACACACTGAGCAAACACTGAGCAAACACACTGAGCAAACACTGAGCAAACACACTGAGCAAACACTGAGCAAACACACTGAGCAAACACTGAGCAAACACACTGAGCAAACACTGAGCAAACACACTGAGCAAACACTGAGCAAACACACTGAGCAAACACTGAGCAAACACACTGAGCAAACACTGAGCAAACACACTGAGCAAACACTGAGCAAACACACTGAGCAAACACTGAGCAAACACACTGAGCAAACACTGAGCAAACACACTGAGCAAACACTGAGCAAACACACTGAGCAAACACTGAGCAAACACACTGAGCAAACACTGAGCAAACACACTGAGCAAACACTGAGCAAACACACTGAGCAAACACTGAGCAAACACACTGAGCAAACACTGAGCAAACACACTGAGCAAACACTGAGCAAACACACTGAGCAAACACTGAGCAAACACACTGAGCAAACACTGAGCAAACACACTGAGCAAACACTGAGCAAACACACTGAGCAAACACTGAGCAAACACACTGAGCAAACACTGAGCAAACACACTGAGCAAACACTGAGCAAACACACTGAGCAAACACTGAGCAAACACACTGAGCAAACACTGAGCAAACACACTGAGCAAACACTGAGCAAACACACTGAGCAAACACTGAGCAAACACACTGAGCAAACACTGAGCAAACACACTGAGCAAACACTGAGCAAACACACTGAGCAAACACTGAGCAAACACACTGAGCAAACACTGAGCAAACACACTGAGCAAACACTGAGCAAACACACTGAGCAAACACTGAGCAAACACACTGAGCAAACACTGAGCAAACACACTGAGCAAACACTGAGCAAACACACTGAGCAAACACTGAGCAAACACACTGAGCAAACACTGAGCAAACACACTGAGCAAACACTGAGCAAACACACTGAGCAAACACTGAGCAAACACACTGAGCAAACACTGAGCAAACACACTGAGCAAACACTGAGCAAACACACTGAGCAAACACTGAGCAAACACACTGAGCAAACACTGAGCAAACACACTGAGCAAACACTGAGCAAACACACTGAGCAAACACTGAGCAAACACACTGAGCAAACACTGAGCAAACACACTGAGCAAACACTGAGCAAACACACTGAGCAAACACTGAGCAAACACACTGAGCAAACACTGAGCAAACACACTGAGCAAACACTGAGCAAACACACTGAGCAAACACTGAGCAAACACACTGAGCAAACACTGAGCAAACACACTGAGCAAACACTGAGCAAACACACTGAGCAAACACTGAGCAAACACACTGAGCAAACACTGAGCAAACACACTGAGCAAACACTGAGCAAACACACTGAGCAAACACTGAGCAAACACACTGAGCAAACACTGAGCAAACACACTGAGCAAACACTGAGCAAACACACTGAGCAAACACTGAGCAAACACACTGAGCAAACACTGAGCAAACACACTGAGCAAACACTGAGCAAACACACTGAGCAAACACTGAGCAAACACACTGAGCAAACACTGAGCAAACACACTGAGCAAACACTGAGCAAACACACTGAGCAAACACTGAGCAAACACACTGAGCAAACACTGAGCAAACACACTGAGCAAACACTGAGCAAACACACTGAGCAAACACTGAGCAAACACACTGAGCAAACACTGAGCAAACACACTGAGCAAACACTGAGCAAACACACTGAGCAAACACTGAGCAAACACACTGAACAAACACTGATCAAATAAAATAAAAACTTATTCAAAATATTAATCTACTGTATATTATGTGCAAATTTTAGGTGTAGACTGAGTATGAGTGTTAGATAAATAAGTGTATGAGTGAATAAATAGTGTGTGTTCCACAGTTATTGTTAAGTGTTCATGAGATGTATCTAATAATAATTAGATAATAGTATCTCAATGATACAAGACCTTGGATGTAACATTTTAACCTAAAATCACGTCTGTGTTACTTGTGAACTATCCAAAAATAAAATCTGAAATTATAGTCTGATGGAGATGGTTTACGATGACTAGGCAAGGCAAGTTTATTTATATAGCACATTTCATACACAATGGTAATTCAAAGTG